TCACCCCCATCTTGAGGGTCAATGTTATAGATGAATAGCTGCCCATCAGAGGAGGCCACAAGCAAACGTGGAAGTTTTCTGGATTCTGATTGTCAAGTGAAACTTATGAATGAGTTTTTTTCCTCAGTAAATACTGTTACTCGTTCTAGATTGCTATGTAATGACTGCAGGACTCACATTGCCAGGGTACAAGACATTCTTCTGACCGGCCATCTGGAGACGGACGTCGCGAAAGCTCGGTCTTGACTCATCATGCCTGACACCTGTGCTGGGAGGTAGCTACTGGCTGCTGTGAACATCTTACCTACATATGTTGACCAAGAGGGAGCTTCCTCCTCCCCACTGCAAGTAAAACAAAACATGGATAAACACAAACACTGACAAAGTTTAGATTTGTCAGTAAAAAAGAAAAGAGATCCTGACTCAATTACACTGGTTTTCAGTACCTTGGGCTGTGCTGTTCAAGCTTGAAAATGTGCACCGTCTCTGTATTGCTTGAGGCACAGAGGAACTGAGCATCCGGGCTGAAGGAAAGGGAGCTGATGTTGACATACCTTTGGTGACACAAACACACAAAGGTCAAATGCATACACAAAACAGACTCGCACATACCACAGTTCATTCAAACACAGTCAACTCTCTTTCTGTATGGTTAAAGTATTTTCAGTGTACATTGTGAGCTTTGAATCATCATCATTGTACCTTTTCATCCCCCGCCTGAACTCAAACAAGCGCAGTCCCTCTGGAACGGAGAAGACTCGAATCACTGTACCCTGGGACGGGAGAAAAGAAGTGGACAGATGCTCGGAGATGTGTGTCTACGTTATAAGGTATGACTATGTGAATCTCTCATAAACACGGGTTGCATTTCACCCCGTAAATAGAAAGAAAAAACAACATATTTGGAATAAATATTTTTGCCTAAATAATACAAAAACACATTTTAGGACAATTAGAATTGTTTTTCATTGTGACATTTTATTTCTATGGAGCCCCTAAAGGAACATGGTGGAGGAAAAATATATGACGTGGATGGAAAAATTATGCCAATGCCATTGCGTTCCCTCGCATATTTTTGCGTTCCCCGAGAAACTTTTGTGAGTGAATGCAAATATGGGGTGTGCTAAACTGACATGAAAACTGACATCAAGATGCAAAAAATCTTAACGCTACCAAAAAACAGGTTAAATATAATTTCGTTATCACTTTACAATAAGTTTCCATTTATTAACATTATTTAACTACATTAGTTAACATGAACTAACAATGAAAAATATCTTAGTTAATATTGATTTCAACATTTATTGATCCGTTATCACATTCAAAAGTTGTATGTTAAGATTATTTAGGAGAACTCCGGAAAAAATGGACCTTTGGTCCCTTTACACTAGTCACAGAAACATACACTAACACAGAAACATAATGAGGGTCCCTACACCATCGTGGTTCGACTTATCGAGACTGTTTTCCAAGATGGCTTCTGCCTGTATACACAAAGTGCACTGTCTTATATAAAATATCTTCTTATTAAACGGTCTGTACACTTACAAAGTTCTCAATGCTTTTGCATGTAGGGACCCTCATTATGTTACTGTGTTAGTGTGGGGCTATTTTGAGCCTTGTTAGTGGTATTAACTAGCGATTTCTCTTTACTTATTATATGCCCCCATATACTAGCATAAACAGTTTTTAGAGATAAAACTCTTTACATTCGATTATCATGAAAAAAATCTCAGAGAACGGTCGACTAGGAACCAATGTGTAATTAGACCAAAGACCAAACATAAACTAACAATGAAAAATTGTCTGTCTGTATTAACTAACATCAACAAAGAATAATAAATACAGTAACAAATGTATTGCTCATTGTTAGTTAAAGTTAGTTAATACATAAACTAATGTTAACTAATAGAACCTTATTGTAAAGTTTTTTTGACCTAAACATGTGTTTCTATATAAAGAGTGGAGCTTTACCCTTTCAGAAGCACTGGCCAGTTTGGTGCCTGAGGCACTGAAGGTGATGGCGGCCAGTGGACTGTCATGAGCTGGAATCATGGTCACAGTGCTCTGAGCAGTCAAAGACACACAAAAACACAACAAAGACAAAGATTTATAGAGTGAATCAGGACTGAAGAGCAGACATTTGTCTCATGTATAGCAATTATCTCAACCAAAGGAACTGCCAAAATGAGCAGCTAAACAGTCTCTTGGCCTGCATTTTTACCAGATTGTTGGCATCATAGACAATAATTTCTCCGATGGTGTCACTGCCTGGATATGCCAGGAAAGAGTTGGAATGGTTGATGGAGAGAGCACAGAGACCTACAGAAACACATGAGTGGGTTAATATTTGTAATATTTATACAGATTTACACAGACAGTTAAAAATTATTATTCTAGGTGAACTGTTTTTGATTTGTTTGTCAATTCCCTTACCCGATGGGTTGGATGGTGTGTTGAGAAGGGTTTTCAGGAGTTTCATGTCTTTTATATTGTGGATATAAATGGATTCCTCCAGACAGACAACCAGTCTCTGCCACGAAACACACACACACACACACACACATACAAAATACATATTTACTGACAAACCAAACCACATTTTCAAGTTTCAACGACGAAAGAGCACAGTAAAGCGATCATCTTGTCCAGAAGCTTTATAATTGATAAGTGGCAGGAGGTGCCTCGCTCCAGCACAGCTGTGTTGTATTTACCTGTCTGTTGAGACGCACTGCAAGAATGTTGTTCGAGTAACTGTAGTTGCAAATCTCTGTGCCCTTTTTGAAGTGGTAGACATTCATGCGACGTGGCATGGACTGACTCACCACCACAACTAGGCTGCTGGAGAAAAGCCTTTCCACAATATACACCTCTGGAGTTTCTGCTGAAGGGGAGAAGAGAACAGGACGCATTAGCAGCGACATAAATTTAAAAAAGCCACATGTAGACATCTTTTTAAGGGGAAATAACATCCAAAATGAAATGCTTCTCATTAAATCAGCTTAAATATAAAATTGAAACACAGTCACTGTGTACACTTAATAATCAGTGTAAATGTGTGTTTTTTCTTGACCCATTTTATTTTGTTCCAAAGAAATATAAAAATATACAGGTTGTCAGTGATATGAGGCTCAAGTAATTATTTTCATTTCTTTTTTTTTACCATTACATTATTGTAGATAAGTGCCATATGATTTTCCAAGTTTACCTTTTAATTTACACACATCAGCAAAACAGGCTGTTTCTCTGTCTTTAGCTTTAGCCATTTTTGTTGTGGGCTGCAGATACAATCTCAAACACATAAGGCATTGTCACCATGTAACATAAATCAAAACAGACAAGGACAACTTTACACCCTGTAGGGTGAGTTTATCACACATTCACAGAGACAAACATTCTCCAAAATATATTTTGAAAGTGAAATATCTTCTCTTATCTTTCTCAACAAAATACAAAGGAAATGAGATGGCATTTTCAATTTATTTGTTAAGTGTTTCGTTAGAAAGTGACTACACCTTATGATAACTTCATTGTGTTGCACATGATGGTTCCTCCTATTGCCTATAGTAGTTTTGGCAGACAGCCATACTTGCCATTTATATCAAGTTTATACAAAAAAGAATCGTAGATGATCTTACTACTCTCATGAATGCAGTCCAGTTTGTCCACAGAGGTCACAGAGAATAGTTTGTATCCAGTTTTGGTGCCCACAGCCAAAGACCTGGAAAAAGCAAGAAGACATTATGCTGTATCAAATCTGTTAAATGAACACATCCATTATTTGGATAGTTATTTTCACTTATGAATTAAACTGTGTACATGCAATTTATTATGTATAAACAGCATAAAACAGTAAAATATAATATATAAATATAATTAGATTTCTTTAATTATAATGACGGAAAAACACAGATGCAATGGCCAACACAGAATCTACAACTTTTTTAAAGGAGTTGTATACTTTTAAAAAAAACTTTTGCTGATAATTTACTCACCCCCATGTCATCCAAGATGTCCACATCTTTCTTTCTTCAGTCGAAAAGAAATTAAGGTTTTTGATGAAAAGATTCCAGGATTTCTCCATATAATAGACTTCACTTGGAACCAAATGCTTCAAGGTCCAAAAGAGAGTTTCAGTGCAAATTGCAAACTGTTGAAAGGGCTTTAAACGATTCAAGACGATGCATAAGGGTCTTATCAAGCGAAGCGATCGCTCATTTAAAAAAAAAAAAACAAAGTTTAAGTTTTATAAGCTCAAATGCTCGCCTTGCTCTGCTGTTCTGTGATGCATATTCGTGACTCTCCTGTTCGAACTCGTTCATCAAAATGAACAAATCAACGAACGAAATGAACGAATTGACTCGGAAAAAGATTTGTTCATTTTGATGAACGAGTTCGAAAAGGAGAGTCACAAACGCGCATCACAGAACAGACCAAGGCAAGCATTTAAGCTTAGAAAATTTAAACTTTTTTTTTTTTTAAATGAGTGATCGTTTCACTTGCTAAGACCCTTATTCATCATCTGGAATCATTTAAACCCCTTTGAACAGTTTGCACTGAAACTGTCTTTTGGACCTTGAATCATTTGGTCCATTATATGGAGAAAAATCCTCGAATGTTTTCATCAAAAACTAAATTTCTTTTCAACTGAAGAAAGAATGACATGGACATCTTGGATGAAATGGGGGTGAGTAAATTATCAGCAAAAGTTTTTTCAAAAGTGACAGCAAGCTAAGTCATTTTAAAATCCTAATACAACACAGGTACTGACTCAAGATAGAAACATTTGTGCAAATTGTAATCATTTGGCTTACATATAAATAGAAGAGTTGATGTCTGTTACATTTACTGGAATCTTTTTTAGGGGGGTGGGGACGGGGGTTAAAACATCTGTTTTGCAGGCCTTTCATTCCTTTAAAAAAAGCTGTTCACGTCAGATCCTGTGCTTAGCATGTCCTTTTCTACTTTTATTGGAAAACAGGTACTGCTGAAACCCACAACAAAACCTTGTGTTTACAGCAGGACTGCGTCTGACATGTGTTGGTAATTATTACCACTGTGACTAGTACAACATATACAAAAGAACTAATTTCTGATTTTTCTAATACAAATGTGTTTTGCCCCAAGAGAGATAGTTGACTATAATCTCGAAGAGACAATACATCAGATCACCTGACTACTCTCAGTATCATGTGTTGTGTTTGATTTGCTATGCTTGACTTTTCAGACAAGAAACCAGTGTGATCAACCACTAGAAAAGACGACAAGAGAGGGTCATCTTGTCAGGAGACTGTGGAATGATCAATACAATCTCACAATACTGCAAATTCTGCTTTGAGGAAACGTGAAGAGGGGAGCAACGTTCAGTTTCTCCTCTATAAAACCATGCAGGCTATAATATTCATAATCATATCTAATCTATAAGTAATATTAGTGGATTTTGTTGTTTTTTATTTTTTGTGCAATCTCATTTAAACCACTATACTGCTCAAAAAACATTGTACAACCATTGAAAAACAGTCCTGAGAAACAACACTAAGCTCATCTAACTTATCATAATTATTATACATTGCAACAACACCGTTATAACATAGTGACTGGCTTTTATGGATGTGTAATAATCAAAACAGACAATAAATAGCGGTCAATCCTTTAAGCAAGTCGACATTCCCTCTTGTAAGGTAAACCGCTGTTAAGCATCATAGAAATATCCGATTCGGCAGATGATGCTTACGTGGAGTCCTGGTTGAAGGAGACGCAGCACGGCCCCGGCCCCGGCCCGCCAGGACCGTCAGCTCCCTCCTCGGTCTCCATCCCGATCCCGATTCCCAACGACCTCCTTCCCTCCCTCCGCCCTGGATCGGAGGCCTGGGATCGGTTGGACCTCTTGGAAAGATAGTGCCAAAGCGGAGACCTACTGAAGAAAAACTGTAAGGTCCGAATAAAGTGGAAGAGAAATATACTCCAACGCTTCAGTTATTCTTCTGCCTCACATCAATTAATTAAAACGCAAGTTTTTGTTCATTTACGACTTCTAGCGGAATGAAGCAAAACAAAACCAGCTGATAGTTGTTGCGTCACGTCAACATCCCATACTAGTGGTTGAAGGAAAATGCGCTGTGTTGTCGTCCGGCTGACCACTGATTGGTCGAGTGAACTAAGATAGACGATGATTGGCGGTAAGTGCGGAATTGATACAAAAGGGGTTGTGGTTTGTCTTTGCAGTTTACATTTGTCTACTCTCTAAACATATCCAATTTAATTTTCACGAATACATCCATGAAAGAGTCACTCACTGCCTTTTATTCCTGCCCTGCCGCTTAATATTTATTAGTCCTAGGAGGCCGACTCATTTCTGCGAATCGCTTCTTTCGAGCAGTTTATTTACTAATTTTAACGTCATCACGTGATCATTCACAGCCTGGCCTGGCATATTTTCGATTAAGTTTGACCAAAAATGGTTTATTGGAATGTAATGTGTTTCAGTTTGTTGCAGCCGTAGTAAATAAAATGCATGAACACTAGGTAACGATATATCGTCCCACGTATATATCCCAATACAAAAATGCAACAATTATAATATCGTGGATATTTTACCCAAAATCAAAATTACTGCGTTTTCAGAGTTTTAGTGTAAATACTACATTAAACTACTATATATAATGTTGATTATAGTGTATAATAATGCAATGGGGGAATATTGGGTCTTGATAATGCCAAATGTCTGATGTTACCAGTAGTGTCCGACATTATTTATATCTAGTCAGTGAAAGCGTGCAAACATATTCATCTACAATAACTCAGTATTTTCAGCTTCAGAATCATGAATATTGTTATTCTGGTGCCACCAATGTATTACAAGGTTACAAGCACCGTGCCCAAGCCTTCGTTTAAACCACAATGTAATATCAAATTTAGCATTTTAATCAACAGTACATGCTAACCTTTCATTATGTCTTTGAGTCGCAATAATATCGTATCGTGAGCTCGTTACACCCTATAATGAACATAAACATTATACAAAGTTTATTATATCTCTCGGTTAAAATCAATGCATTTTCTGCTATTAAACTTACTTTTCACTCCATCAGTCAAATCCTTCGTCCAGTAGCCTAATCTACTAGCCCACTCAACAGGTTATAAGTCATTTGCATATAATAATTTGCATCCAACAAACTTTTGCAGTTTTTGAGGTGCTGTAGCAAGAGTTCCAACTCACAGAGAAAAAAAAAAATCACTCAACGTTTTTAATAGTATTTTTACAAAACATAAAATGCAGAATCTGTGTTCTTTATTTAGCAGCACATGTAGATTAGAAAATGAAATGTGCACTGCATTTATGATAGTCATTTCATAGAAAGTTAATTCTCTTTTTGGTGCTAAATGGTCATGTATTTTTGCACTGTTTAGATTAATTAATACTGCACAAAAGCTATTGAACAACAACAAGTTTGGAATCAGCCATCACACCACAGTAGGCTACATCATTATATCAATAGGCTATAATTCCTTTAAAGTGTTGTAGTTAATGCAAAAAAAAAGGGTCTGAGAAAACAAACAAATAAAAACAGATGGTCCAAGGTTATTTTTTTCTGCTCTCTCCAGATCTCATGGTGTTTCAGTGCTAAAAATAACATTAAAGAGGAAAAGTCATTATTAATATAAGTACAGACAATGCATAGACAATCTAGATTTAAACAGTAATATTAAAATGGCACACAAGTTGCTTCGTGACAATAGCCTACCTTAAAATCCCAGACAACCATGGCACCATCTAAAGACACACTGCTGAATTTCTCCACCTTGGTCTTCAGCCCTTCCAGAATACATAGTTGGCTACAGTAGAAACAAAGTCTTAGCAAACTGCAATTACATTTCTCTAAAATGTTAGCATAATGCAAAAGATGTTGAAGTTAGACCAAAATCTTGTGCTTGCAGACGTCAAGCCTTTATTACGTGATGCTGTTCTGATGCAGACTGCCCAACTCAGTGTCTTCCTCATCAGTCGCTCTTTTGTCCAGATTACGGAAATGCTGCATGGCAGACATGTTGCCCTTGGAGCTCTGCTTGGGAATGTCCACTTTCTTCACAAACTCTAAGCATCCAGGACCCTTGTATGAGAACTGATAAGGGCAACAGTCGTGGCCCTAAGATCAACCACACACATAACAAATGTTATTTGATAAAAAAATACAGTAAAAACAGCTATATTGTGTAAAATATCTAAATGACTGGTGTAGCCTATATTTAAATCTGTTTTAAAATGTATTTTATTCCTTAATGCAGCTGTATTTTAAGCTTCAGTGTCACATGATCCTTCAGAAATCATTCTAATATGCTGCTGTAACATTTCTTATTATCATCATTAATGTCTTACCGCAGCTACAATCTGAGTCTCACTGACATACAGCAAGCTCAGCAATGGAAGATGTCTTGTTGTCAGCTGAGTAACCCTGCAATGCACAAAATTTCATTTGCAGGCAATCTAAAAGTGAATGCTGAAGATCATGCTGTGCATACAGTATATTATTATTTTCAGGCAGTATTTTTAATAGATGCATAGAATTCAAGGATATTGAGCATCAAATTATTTAATGGTGCTTTTCCACTACACAGTACTAGCTCGACTCGCCTCGGCTCGCTTTTGTTTGGTTTTCCACTGTGTAAAAGTTGTACCTATACCTGCTTTCGGCACTTTTTCGTATCACCTCCGGCTGAGGTGCTAAAATGAGTCAAGTCGAGCTTGTACTGGTAATGGAAAAGCGCCATTAGTTTGCTCTTCTGTGTATAGGCCTATATGAAAATGGAGTTTTACATAATTATTATACGTAAATCTTACTGTTTCCCCCGTGAGGCGTCTGCCACACTGATAGCGCTGTTGTGGCTAACCCAGGCAAGAGCATCACCAGATGGAGAGAAACAGACACTGTGCACCCAGCCTCCGCACTCCTTATACTCCAGAAGCACCTCCCCAAAGGGCATTTTGGACCCCCATGGTGTTGGTCCAGGCTTGTCCTCAATGTCTTTGATATATGCAGAAAAAATTCTAAGGCAACAAAAAGACTTGTGTTAGAAAAAAACATTGTGCAGTCTGAATATAATATCATCGCAATTATCAAACCTGCAGTTGAGATCAGCAGAGCCAGCTGCCAGCAGCATGTTGTTGGGATGCCAGTCTAGACTCAGAACGGTGGAGTTAATGGGTTTCTTGATATGCTTACTCAGCCACCTATAGAGGCAATCATGAACAAGGGAGCACATTAAAGCTACACGAGAGATAATGCATAAGATATATTCTAAGCATCAAAAGATATTATACAATCAAGTCTCACCAGTCATTTTCTTTTTCAAAGTAGCACACTGAAATAAGTTTGGCTCCACTTCCAAGAGCAAACTTGTTCTCGAGAGGTGACCACTTGACACATGTGGCAGCTCGATTGATGCGAACCAGCACCAATGTTGGCTTCCAAACCCCATCCTTAAGTGTCCACACATAGGCATTCCTATCGGAGGCACATGTCACTATACGGTTGGACTCTGGGGCCCAATCAATCCCTAAAAGTGAAAATGATTGTTAGATTGTGTTCATTTAAAATCTATATATTAAAACATTTCAGTGTAACTGATTTTATTGTGCAGTTTTAGTACACTGGAAAATTGAAATAGTATCAATTAAAGGGTTAGTTCACCCAAAAATGAAAATTCTGTCAGTATTTACTTACCCTCATGTTGTTCCAAACCTCTATGTGTTTATTTGTCCTGCTGAACACAAAGGAAGATATTTGGAAGAATGTTTTAATCAAACAGATCTGTTTGATTAAAACATTCTTCCAAATATGTTCCTTTGTGTTCAGCAGAACAAATAAACACAGAGGTTTGGAACAACATGAGGGTAAGTAAATACTGACAGAATTTTCATTTTTGGGTGAACTAACCCTTTAATTTAGTTTCTAAATGCATGTTATTGATCTTATTTTGAACTATACATACATTAGATTTGTATTCAAAATGTCATAACTCGATCTTAAGCCACGCCCCTTTCGTACAATCAACTGCATCCTATTTTTTTCCTTTATCTGTTTCACTGGGATGTATCATAATATGGAAGAAAAGATCTGTCACTACTTCCATTTCATTGCAACTTTAAAAAAAATACAGTTAGTACAGAACTCAAACATGTAGCTTGCACTGTTACAGTGGTTTAGTGCATGCCGTTCATTGGAGCACTGAGATAATGTTTGTTTTATGGGTCAGTTTCAAAGTATCGGTAAGTTAATGAATGTTGCAGCTATTCTCTTTTGTCTTACCTGTGATTCGCCCACTGTGCTCTGTCAGTTCATGAATCTTAATCCATTCCTTTCCTTTCTTTTGGTAAATGTGCACATCATTGGTGTTGGGGCTAAGAGCGATTTCTAATATAAAAAGACATATTATTAGGAATTTTTTATATACTGTACATAAAATAAACCTGAAAAATTATATTTGGGAATTTCTTGTATACAAAAATCCCCGTTTAAAACAACAAAATTACAGGAAGTTCATAGCAAAATGATATGTACAAATGGAAAAGTGCATGCTTTTCTCCTAAAGACAAACTGATATTCCTCTGAGTATTTTAATGGATGAAAATGGAACTGCAGGCTGCAACATTAAGAGTCTGAAGGGATGTAATTTATATTTAAAACGTAGCTAAACTAGTTTGCTCTTACGTGTTCGGTCTTTGTTCCAGGCATGACAGGACAGAGGCTCCAATCCAAAGCTATAGAGGGACATGTCTCAACAACGGGACCCTGGAATGCACCACAGGTGTTAGAAAGAGTAGCCTATGCAATCACGAGAATGTGACTAAACAAGGGAGGTAGAGTGTTGCCTGTTTGGATTACTCCACCCAAATCTTGAAAATGTTATAATCTCTCCTCTGTGAGCCTCACTTTCAACATATTCATTCAGATGTTACTATATTCACAATTTCCAAGATAAAGAATCACCAAAACAAGACATTTACACAAATTTCAATTGATTTAAATGAATTTTACAGACATGTTACAGTGTTCAGTACCAGAAAAGAGACATTCTTCATCCAATTCCCATTAAAAATGTCAGTTAAGGTATGGTACATTGGTATGACTGAGCAGTGATTACAGATTTGCATAGCAAACAACATAACCTTACCATACCTGACTTTGGAAAATTGACTATGCCCTCACCTTTATCTTTTCCTCTCTTTTGCTAGAAAGGGTTATATCCTCTTGAGCTGAATAGCTTTTGGAAGGCTATGTTCGTGGACTCTGGGCAGTCGACACGAATGAGATTGAGCAGTGGCAGGAAGGGCTGCAGAGGGAGCAGGGAGGAGATAAGAGAGGGTGTGTTTTTATGTTCTGATATAGGCACCTGGCCTGTGCAGTCATATCCTCATCATTAAAGTCACCATGAATTCAAAATAGACAACTCGTATTTTTGATGGAATATTGCAGTGTTTATTATGAATGATTTATTAATTTTTAATCAAAATAACTTCCGCTCCCTCTTGCAACAACATCTCTGATGACCTGTTTACATGACATCACAACAATAGCAAACCACAACCATCCAACAATCCAGTTGTCACCATTATTCAGTTTAGCTTTAGTTTCATTTTCATGGTTTCTTTTATCAGTTATCTGTTTCCTTTGTTCTAGTTTCCCGCCACTAATCTACTACCATGGACACATCCGTTAACTCTCACACCCGTTAGTATTCCGTTCATTATCATCCTGTGTATTTAAAAGTTCATCAGTTTGGTTCCTTCTTGGGATGGTGTTTGTGCTAGTTGCACCCTGTCTCACATCACTGTGGATTTCCTAAGTTTATTTTGTGTTGTTAAAAACACTTCTATTTGCACTGGAATATACAGTGCAATAATAATTCAATGTGAAAAAATGCTTTTTAAAATGTATTTTCTTCTTCTGTGGCGCATAAAGTAGGCCTATACATTTTTATTCCATACAATAGAAGTTAATGGTAGCCAAATCTCTTCAAAATATCTTCTTTTGTCTTCTGTAAAACAAAAAGTCATTATGAGGGTGGTGAGTAAATAATTGCAGATTTTTTTTTTTTGTAAACTATCCCTTTAAATTACATACTCACCAAATAGATAATTATATAGAATAATGGCTTCTGCTTAAATAATTTTCCTGTTTACATCATTTTCCTTTGTAAGTCACTTTGGATAAAAATATCTGGTAAATTAATACATGTAAATGTTTAGCTATATAATGTTACATTTTGATTATGGACCTCATTACCAGTGATGATGTGCTAGTGAAGTATTAGTTTAGTTGAAGTTAAGAATGCATTCACGTTGGCCTAGGCCTATTTTGTAATGTAAGCCCAATAATGTCAACCATTCAGAAGCACAAATCAGTCGATTTGTGTGTCCCCTCGATGTTAGAGGTGATTATATGACCTAGAGTAGACCTAGGTTGAATAAGGACAACGCAGGCTTGGTATGGGGTTTTATGCACAGACCATTTAACCTTTTCAGCTGTCATCATATCCAAATCACACAGGGTCACAGTGTTTTTTTTTTTCTTTAAATGTCACTGCCGGATACTGTAAAATATGATTAAAAAACTTAGCGTATGTAGCACATCATGTGCAGCAGAATGTAATAAATTAGCTGGTTGACAACCTCCATCTCCTCGAAATACAAAAACAAGCACTTGCCCTTTAAGGTTGTGAGGAGTAACGGGCTTCCCAGATCGAGGCGCATTGACGTCAATCGTTGTTTGTGATTGGTCATAACCTTTTCCGGTGAGGCATCCATCAATCCAAGGACTGTGGGAAAGCCAGCGTAAACGGAGTAAAACACGTCGAGAAACTCATCGAAGCGTCTCAGGTATGAATATTTAAAGGTAGAGGTCTTCGCTTTAACGTTTGTTGATATCGATGTGTGAGTCGACAGGCTCGTAGAGAGGTTACTGTAATGCTGTCGGCTTCCGTTGTTGTGATAATGTAGCTTGCAAGATGGCGTATTTTGCTGCTTGACAAAACTGGTTACCGATAACACAGAGCTGCACGGTTTACGCTGTTAAACGTTTAAACGCGCTAAATGGGGTGTACTTGCATCCGCATGTGTTTTGTTCGCTAAAATAATGTTATGTTCACATGACCCAATTGCGTTATATTGTGAAATGCCTTTGGTGATGAACTGCGCATTTTATGAGCTCAGGCGCCCGGACAAGGACCACAGCATAACGTTAACGTTACCTGCCAAAATGCAACACTTTCTGATTATTTACATTGCTGAAAGACATTGTTGACTGAATTTTTTCTAGTCTAGATATGTAGCATGTGCGAAGTATGTGAGCCACGTTAGCCGTTTAACTTGTTTCACTTTGACAGCAGAAAGTGTTTTAATGGTTTTATTGGTTTGCAGCCCTTTTATTAGCACCTGTAGTTTGTTTTTGGTTTTATTAAGTTATGATCACGAGGTCACATGGTCAAGGAAGACCTGGTAATATAAGGGTTTAAAATGTCAACTTAGGCCAGGATATGTCATCATGGAATTGAATAAAATCTTGATAATTTAAATTTGTTTAAGGTATTTTATTCAGTTGGGAAATTCTCTTTGTGAGTCCAATCTTTTCAACATTACTTTTCATATCCCATAATGGCAGATGACTGGAAATATTAAATATGTGGGAATATTGTAACACATGGCTGCAATTTGAATTCACAGATTTGTTTACTTGTATTGTTGACAGGATTGTTGGAGATGATTGTAACCAGAGGAATATCTGCTCATGATCTGATAATGAGAGTACATTTGTGTGGCCTGGTAAACCCTACGTTATGGGGATAAAATGTCCCCACAAAGATAGCAATATCTTAAATCCTTGTCCTTGTGGGGACATTTTCTGGTCCCCATGAGAAAAACAGCTTTTCAATCATACTAAGTGAGTTTTTAGTGTAATGGCATAGAATATACAGTTTGTACAGTATAAAAGAAATTATGTCTATGGAAAGTCACCATAAAACATGAAAACATAATGTGTGTTTAAAGAAGATATAGAATCCAGAATGCTTGCCAACTGTATGTGGCTCATACCAGGAACATACAAACATATTAGATGCATGATTTTTAGAATTTCCATAACAATTTGGTATGCACTGGAGAAAATAGTTTGTCTTCATGTCTTTACTCAAAATCTGAAACTTTGCTTCCCACTGGAATGACATTCCTTCTCTGATGACGTTTGTTTGACGCCTATTGCAGAACATCCTTTAACCACCTCCCTCCACCTGTCAGTTGGATACAAGCTCAAAATGGTGAGGAGGAGGTGTCCTAAAATCAAGCCCTGCCCTCTATGTGTCACAATTTGAGTTTTGTCACAACAGTTGATGGTTCCGGTTCATGAGGACTTCACAATGAAATTAATGAATTGCACTCATGGCATTACACTCTACTCTTAAGAGATGTAGCTATCATCGAATCTTCTTGACATTTCACTATAAAACTAGTTGAGCTAATGACATTTAGCTAAGGTTTGGAATTGCTCCACATTTCATAAGCTGATATGAATTGCATGTTTCAGGTCACCATGGCGTCCAGCAGTACGAGCAGTGAAGAAGAGAGGAGCTTGCGGGAGTGTGAGCGCTACGTGCAGAAGCACAACATCCAGCAGCTGCTGAAGGAATGCATTGTGCAGCTGTGCACTGTCAGGCCTGAGAGGCCCATGCTTTTCCTCAAAGAGTGCTTCGAGAGGCTTGAGAAGGTTAGTCATTTTCTTTGGAGTAAAACCACATAGGCTTAGACTCTTTACAGATGTTCTTTACCCTTGAAAAGTTTTGTGAACAAAGTTTATGTCTATCAGGAGGAAGCAAAACAGATCAGCAACCAGCAGAAGTCGAGCTCTCGCTCAGACTCCCGAGAAGATGAGGTTTCTCCTCCCATGAATCCTGTAGTTAAGGGCCGACGGCGCCGCGGTGCCATCAGCGCAGAGGTCTACACCGAGGAAGATGCAGCTTCTTACGTCAGAAAGGTAACTAGCCTCTGATTTTTTTTCCTAGAACTATTAATTTTAATCTGTACTTGTTGCATTTACATGTCATTCTTTCAAAATCACGCCGCATAATATTATTGGCATGCTGAATTCTACTTTCCCTGCAGTTGCGGTTTACTTAGAAAACTTTCTGTTAATTTACAGGTCATTCCTAAAGACTACAAAACTATGGCTGCCCTTGCTAAAGCGATTGAAAAGAATGTGCTTTTTGCCCATCTTGATGACAACGAAAGAAGGTAACAAATTTAGTTTTGAGTAGTAGATTGAATTATTCAGTTTAACTAAAAAGCATTTCATTTACTGAAAACAACTTGTTTTATTTTTCACAGTGACATATTTGACGCTATGTTCTCAGTCACCTACATTGCAGGAGAGACTGTCATTCAACAAGGTCAGGCTTATTTTGAGGAGGAGCCGATTGTGTAAAAATGTAAAAAATATTTAGACTAATGTATTGTGTTTCTAATTTCAGGGGATGAGGGTGACAATTTTTATGTTATTGATCAAGGTGAAATGGATGTAAGTGCATTTCTAAATTGATGTTGAATCAAGATTTAATATGATAATAGATGTTTTTTGACTTGTATAGGGTAGGGATGGGCATTCGATAAAATTTTCTTAGTCGATCGTCGGGAGCAACAGTCGATAAATCGATAAATCATTAATATTTTATTTTTATATTGAAATTAATTATTTATTTAACTTTTTATCAATTAAAAATGCAATGAAAAACACAAAAATACAGCGTGTTTTTCCTCGATGAGACCTTTATTACAGGAAGATCAACTTGTGGCCGTTAAACTGGATGTTCGGTCAGGCTAAACTTGAAGATACTGTATATGCGCTGTGTTGTTGTAAAGCAGCGGAACCTGCAGATGCGTGCCGGCGTTCTTAAACAGAGACCCTCGTTTGTTTCAAAATAATAAATGATAAAAAAAAATTCATGTTAAACAATAACTTAAGTATTACATAATAATACTTAGCTCTGACAGGTTTTGTCAAAATGTAACTCAAAACTATCTAAGACACGGAGTCGAGAAAGAGGGTGAGAGAGATTAGCCTACCTAACAATTACTACTTAACAAAGCTTCATAAAACGTAATTAGTAACTCACATACAACTTCTGCACCAATCAACTGATTTTTGTTGAGAAATATAAGCAAAGAAAACAACCGCTCACTTCATGATTCTTCTTTTGAAATCAAAGCGGAAACTGGCAGGTAACTGAGTATGGCGTCAAACTGCATTAAGCTGCATTAGTTTAATCGATAACAAATTAACATGATCAACGAAATTCTTAATGATCAATTATCGACCCTCGGTTAATCATGCCCATCCCTAGTATAGGGTTATTAAAGTGCCCCTATTATGCTTTTTCAAGTATTACTTTTCATGCAGTGTGTAATATAGCTGTTTGTGAATATAAAAGGTCTGCAAAATTCTAAATATCAAAGTTCACAACAATTTTTTTGTTCAAATTTTGATTCCGAACTGCCGAAACGAGTCATCAGTTTCACTTCCTGTTACAAAACTACCTAACAATGTAACACATTTGCATAATGCCAGCCTATGATCTTCATTAGCTGCCTGCAAACAACATCTAATTGGTACTTTGACCTTTGACGTGCCATCAAACTGTAGTTGTAGCTGAAGCCTGGAAGAGTTTGGTTCATGTTCAGGGGCTCTTTAACGTTTGGAATGATAATGACTGAGATATTCATAAGTACTATTGTTTTTGATAGGTGTACGTCAACAATGAGTGGGTGACCAGTATTGGAGAGGGTGGCAGTTTTGGGGAGCTGGCTTTAATCTATGGCACCCCCAGAGCAGCCACTGTCAGAGCAAAAACTAACGTCAAGCTGTGGGGAATCGACAGAGACAGCTACAGGAGAATACTCATGGTTAGTACACCGTTCAACTGATAATTGCATGGTTTGATATTATACAAACAACGTTTGCCTTTTAATTTTGAAGTATTTTGTGATTTGTTATTTTTACAGATCTTGAATTTTATAAAATGGCCACATTTTCTTTCTTCTGCTTAACATTTTTAATTCTGTGTTTAGGGAAGTACTCTGAGAAAGAGAAAAATGTATGAGGAATTCCTTAGCAAGGTCTCCATTTTGGGTGAGTTTAATGCATTTATGTTTAGGTTATGTATATTTTCAGGCTTGTGTTCATAGTAAACTGTGTAAAAAACAGTTGTAGTGCTGCGTAATAATGCTGTAAGCAAATCTTGTGAAGTGCTCAGTGATGACATGCTAACATCCTGTGAGCAGAGTCTCTGGATAAATGGGAACGGTTGACGGTTGCTGATGCTCTCGAGACAGTCCAGTTTGAAGATGGCCAGAAGATTGTTGTGCAGGGTCAACCGGGAGATGAGTTTTTCATTATCCTTGAGGTAGCTTTCCATGCTCTCATCAACAAGTCTTTGTTAATTAGAGTCATATGGTTTTGTATACTGTTTTTATCTTCTCATTTATGCACAATTGCAAACACAAGTTAATAATGAGATCATCAGAGGAGAATAGCTGTATTGATTTAGACTTGTGTCCTCAGGGCTCAGCAGCAGTCCTTCAGCGGCGGTCGGAGAATGAGGAGTTTGTGGAGGTCGGAAGACTCGCACCATCTGACTACTTCGGTAAATGTGTTTCTTTTTACTCTCTGGAAAGCTTATCCCAGTCATATCCCAGAAATTCCTTTGTTAATGTAATTACATATTAGCTGCTTTTCCACTGTCGGGCCAGTGCGAGCCAGGGCCAACAACGTGCATGCGGGGCCAATAGCCTTGGACCTCAAGAAGCACCAAGCGGCATTTCCACTGTTGGGTCAGTAGCCACGCAGCGCTACCTTTAGTCTTTACTTTAACCTGCAGTCCGTAGCTTTTTTTGGGTTACAGAAAAAAGAGACTGCAACCGGCCCATGCGAAAACAAGGACATTACACGGTTTTGTGTGTTTACAAGTTAAGCGATTGTTAGATTTAATCAGCGTGATTTACTGCAATGTCAGAACCAGAACAAAAGTGGATGTTTCTTACTAGTTCAGATTACATTTTCCGGTGAAAATTCTTATGTTGGTCATACTTCCAAAAATAATAATCTGTGATTCTGAATGCCAGTATCGACACTGGCGTGGAGACTGACAGCCTCACACTCTCTTCAAACATTGTGTTCATCCGCGCTGTGCCGTCTCAAGGGTGTTGGAAGTACAACTCGCGCAAAGTTAATAATTCCACGACTGCAATTACAGATTTCGAACAGAGATGGCGACAGAGGAAAAACGCCCGACTGCAGCTTTAAAGACTCTTCCGAACACTTTACTTAAAGACTCTGCCGACGACGTTCCTAAGCCAGTCTGCATCATGTATGATATTTCCACATTTATCAAGCCGTTTCTGGTATTTTCCATAATTATATACGTATTTATTATTGCAATGGTTAGACTAAGTAGCCTTTAGCATTGCATAAATATATTTCTGCATCATAAGGTGATCAGAATCACCATCAGATCGCAATTAGAAGTTATTTAAAACTTTTGCTGGTGCCTGAAAGTGATTTTTGAGCTGAAAATCATTTTAAATGTCTTAAATGTTGAGGTTAGCTGATAGTCTGGTATTATAACATGGGAATGAGCGGTGGCGTTGTCCCTCACCTGACTCAAGGAAACTTTGCCTTTGTTCAAGCCCCAGTTGGCCCACTTTGGACCAAGGTATTCACTGGGCCAAAAACCCCTGGCCATTGGAGGAATCCCCGATGAGGCCGATCAAGCCCCTGAAGTGCCACTGGCCCTAGCACGCACTAGCACGACAGTGGCCCAACAGCAGAAACATGGCTGTTGACGCCATGTACAGTGTCCATTAGCACACCTTAATGTGTTTGTTTCTCTGACTGTTGCTCTTCTCTGATTTCCCTCCATGTGTTTCATCAGGTGAGATCGCTCTGCTCATGAACCGGCCTCGTGCTGCCACCGTGGTTGCTCGTGGCCCTCTGAAGTGCGTAAAACTTGACCGCCCCAGGTTCGAACGCGTGCTCGGCCCCTGCTCCGATATCCTGAAGAGAAACATACAGCAGTACAACAGCTTCGTGTCTCTGTCGGTCTGAGGCACACTAGGCTCTTACCTCCTCAATTGCAGGGTCCACCAATGCAAATTCGCTTTATTTTCTTACTTTTCTTTATGCATTTTCCAACACCCAGGTGCCCATTCACTTCAGTGTTCTCTCCCTGTCAGTCTGTTGTTGTTTTTTTTTGATTTGTGCCGTAAAGTCGCATTTGTATCCATCCTAGATTTACCATAAGGCTGATTTGTTAGTTTTGCCTGAGAAACGAGCCAATCGTTGTGCCACAAAAGCCTGTCACGTGGACAGATGTTGAAATAACTATTGGGATTTTCTCTTGCGTCCAAATTGCCTCATGATTCTGTATAACAGTGTTTGGAATGGAAGGAAAACAGTGGCAGAGGACTGATATTCATGTAGTGCATTTACTCAGTATATAAGGATGTATCTTAATTGAGCCATCGATTTTCAGAATCAGTTTTCCTTCATTCATTTCAAGCGTTTGAATATAGGGAAGCCAAAGGCATAAATCCATGTGTGTTACATTGTTTTCTTGGGGGTACTGAAGTTTAATCGTCACCATGTTTATCATGGTGATCAGCTTTGCTCTTTTATTGTTATAACTGCACATATATAGTGTATGTACAAGATTATATATTAGAAGTAAATGACCATAACCATATTTTTTGCACAGTATATATATATATATATATACGCTTTATATTGCTGTTTTTCATTGGGCTTTTTTCATTTTCCTTTGGGCGTTTTGCTATACACACAGACTTGCTCTGGAGTCTTATTTAGAACAGACCAGGATTAGTTTAATCTCCTTTTAAAGTTTTTTCTTTTCTTTTTCTTGTGAATTTTCTCCCTTCTGAAATGCTACATGCTGCAAATGCTTTTATTTGTTGCCCCCACACAAAGGCAATGTAATCTTATTTTATTCAACATTGTGTTTTTGGCGGATATATATATACAGAAAAGATATTATATTTGTATGTTCTGTTTAATTGTTTAGAAGAGTTACAGAAATGCAATGGTTAATGATGAAGCTTTGTTGACTGAGTATGTGAGAATCCTCAACAGGATGTAACTACTTGGTGACCTCCTTCACCCACTAAGATCCCATTAGGGTTTCTTTCTCGATTAGTGCTTCGAAACCCCAAATGTCTTTTTAAATTTTTTATTAACTGAAATAGTCTGGTTAATAAACAGGGTAGGTCTGTTTTCAACTAACCACTGTTGTTTTTAGATTGAGATTTAGATTATTCACCATGCATATATAGTCATATGAAAGTCTTAAAACAGGGACAGTATTTGCCGCTTGTGTTGAGTTCATGGTGTCTGTATGCCATTAGGGTTGGGATCCATCAAACGTTTGGAAATCGATTTGCGATCCACTACTGCCACCACCTTAATCTCCTATCAGATATTGTTCTTCAAGTTCTCTGAGTTGTGTTTTACTGGGTGGTACAATAGTGTTAACAGTTGCTGAAGGTAGATTTTAATTATCGCACAGAGATACTTTTGTATTATTTGGAAAAACTGATGTGAATTTTATTTTGGTTTTCCACACACCTTGTGTTATGTATTTACAGATATCCAGCTCATTTGTACAACAGACTCATGTTATTGAAAGCAAATTTGGGTTTTGAAAAGTGCCTGATTTCTTTACTCTCATAATGCAAAGCCAACAGACATTTTCTTGTAGTTATTTTTCCCCCTAATGTATTCATTAATATACTAATAGCGTGTCACCTGTATTATTTGTAATCTACAATGTTTTGTTTCATCTGTATATCCAGATCCTCTTTAGCAGTGTAATTTATTCAGACTTAAAGCTCCAATAGTTAAGAGTTTGCACAGAACTGTCCCAAAATGTTAGAGAAATATATTATACAGATATTATAAAGAAAGACTTATATTTAGTGTGTTTTTATCTTCAATTCTGACTCTGGCCTATAACCACATGGGAGAATTGTTGTCACTTAACTGTGACATTTGATTTGAGAGCCTTACAGCATGTCAATCCAGATGTCTAGGAAAATAAGATGTTTTCTGACATTCACAGATTTCTGCCCCTCTAGACTAGAATTTCAGAATCAGTCAAATCTTGGTGCTGTAGCTTTAAAAACACAGAATTTGCACCCTTAATTACAGGGGATTCCAAATAGCCTTTTGATTAACCGTTCCACTGTCTTTTCAATGACTGGTTTATGCCTTATGATGGGGTTAAATAAATGAACATGTTGAAATTATATATTATTTTGAGTCCTTAATGTTAAACTGTGACACCCGAAGATAGATAGTTAGTCTACTTGTTATCGCTCATATATGCATTGGTCTGTTTTATTTAAAGGGGTGGTATAATGCCCTTTTCAAAAGATGTAAAATAAATCTCTGATGTCCCCAGAGTGTGTATGTGAAGTTTTAGCTCAAAATACCCCACAGATATTTTTATATAGCATGTTAAAGTTGTCACTTTTTGAGGGTTAGCACAAACACACCGTTTTGTGTCTGGCCCTTTAAATGCAAATGAGCTGCAACTCCCGGGCGGGGCTTCAAGAGTGTGTGTGTGTTAGCAGCTCCAATTACCTCACGAAGACATGCATTAAAATGTCAGAAATTGTTCTGCCTTTTATGTTTAACCGGAAAGTCAGACAAAAATGGAGAGACTTAGCCACTAAGAAGAAGTGACCACACGTAGAATGCAACAGGACATCTCTGAATGGTTAGTTGATGAATTTATGTTGCTGATGATGTGGAGTTAACTATCTTCAATTAGCATAGGCTGTCAGGATAATCTATAAATCGCTTGTATAGGAATTGTTGTGAGATGCACAGAGTGACTTTCTATTGCATGTGAAAAAACGGATGCTATAGTTTGAGCTGACTTTCAAATGTGCTTGACTAGCTCTTCCTCTTCTCAACATGGACTGTGTGTTCCCGAGGGTGGGGTTTATGTAAATTTAAGGGTTGGTTATGTCACTAACCCAGGAGAAAGCTTGTGTAGTTCCTACCAGCCGTTTGGTGTAGTCCTTTAAAAACCCATTTCTTTAAAAGCAAATATCCCCCTTTGCTTTAAACTTTGAGTGTTGCAACATTACACACTAACTAAAGTTAGAAAAGTGAAATCATAATCAACCACCCCTTTAACTTCATATGATGACAAATTACAAAAAGCAAATCCCTTGTTTTCTGATGCATCAATGCGTCATTGATGTTTATTGTAATTTTCTCCCCTTTATGACCCCTTTTTCTCCCCTTTATGACCCCTTTTCTCCCTTTTCAATGATTTTGTTCCTCTGCAAATTCTCTGCTTACCTTTTTATTATGATTTTTTTTCTTTTTTTTTAAACTTCAGGCCATGTTTCTTGAAGATCATTCAGTGGTCACTGGAAATGTGTTTGTATTAGCAAATAGCAACCTCTACTCCCTTTTTTGTAGCCTGCTAACATTCCCTGGTTGTGACTGTCAATTGTGTTTTCTTCTGGAGTTTTCAGTAAAATTGTGTTCTAGTAAGTACAGAGGAATTGATATTTGCGCACAAGCCACCAGAGCATACAGACTCCTGTTCACTCATTCTTCAGTTTAAGCCCTCAACACAGAGTTGTAAAATGTCGAGGGACCATTTTTCTATTATGCTTTTTTGTATAACTGTGTGGTTTGAATTCTTTGGATGTGCTCAAGTTGTAAACCTTTTGGTATCGATTGTCCTAATGGCAGGTCAAGCAATAAAATGATTCATTCTTGCGTCTTGTGTTTTCTGTGCTGTTTTCATATATCAAAAGTATAATGTTACTGCAGTATGCCTCTCAAGGACTACAGATTCAAATTTACGCTTGCATCCCACAATGTGTGATTTGTTTATTAGACTACATATTTTGACATCAAATACACTAAATTAATCCTCATGGATCAAACTTCAAACCTGCTGAAACCTGTAGGCCCTGTCACAGGGCCCCTGTGAATCATTCCCACTTTTCACTCCATAAGCAACATTCATTAAGACTCTACTGTGTGTAACAGGGAAAGTACAGCAATAATGTTCACTTTTTACAAAATAAAATCATGTAAGCGTCTGTTTTGTAGAACTCAAATGTTAATCTGGATTGGTGACTGCATCCCGTTGTTAAAATGTTTATTTTGAGGACTTTTATTTCATAATTTCTTGAGAATTAATGTGATTTTCCCAGTGATTTCTGTCATTTAGCCGCACCCTGCCTCCACACTCAACACAACAACTGTCATGACAGTTGTTCTCTCTCAACCCTGTCACTGGTGTGTATCTGTATCCATCTCATTTACATTATCCACTATTTCCAGTTTCTTTAAATATATAGCCTAACCGTGTTTTAAGAATTAGGCCTATATTTTAATTTGAAGCGTTTACTTTGTCGATAACATGAATATTTGCACAGACCGCATCATAATATTAAAATGAATAGGAGAGAAGAAAAACAGACGGGCTCCTCACGAGACTTCCGAAAAAGCACGAACCTCATGTTCGTGTTTTTTCGGAAGTATGGTGATAGACCCCCGACTGCCACCGACCGCTGCTGCTGCACAGGCACCTCAACATCACATTTCAGTCTATTTCTACTGATTCATCGCTCGTCGGATACTACTCGTGCACTGCAAATGCAAGCCATCAAGTGTGTTGTTGTCGGCGACGGGTAAGATGTTGAAGAATAAATGGTAAAATTGCTCGTGTTTTCTACGGAGGTTTCTTTGGGAGAAAAGCAATTGTTGCGAGGAGCTGGGGATTTGGGGTTGGCACAGCGGTTGAGTGGATTCAGCTCAGACAAAATGGATAATTTTATAATTATAAATATTACTGTCATTCTTCGAGACACTGAAGGTGTTTTCATTATCGTTTTAAATGAGATTGTGCACAGACTGTGTTTGGTAGTGGCCGTTTTGTTTAATATTAGGCGTTTTGTCTGTTTTTTTTTTCAATGTTTAAATTGATTTTTTTCACACTAAAGTAGCATGACAATGTATTGTAAAACATGCAGAAAATATATTAAACGGATACTAAACAGTGTTGAAATAATGCGCGTGTACGTGGAATCGCTATGATGTCATGTTTTACACCTACAGAGCGGCTCTACAGAGCTCTAAAGGGGAAATGATCCACTCCCCTAAATCACAGTGCTCGTGAGCCTTAACTATTAACCTTCACATAATTGTTTTTTTCTTCCTTTATTTTTAACCAGAGAGCAAAATCTTAAAATCGCATTTGTTGATAATCCACAATGAAATAACAAAAAGCTGCATTGCAATTGGTATTTGGTAGAGATCAAGTGAAATATTATTTATTTTATCATTACTTATACCGTTATTTTTAATATTTAAGTGGTCATAATCACCAGGCAACATTGATTTTTGCTTACGGCTTTATTTTGAAAAAATATTATAGATAATTAGACTACAGTAGAATGTAAATATGAACTATGAATTTGTAACAACAGCGAAATAATACTAACATTAGCTTAAAATACCGTTTCTGTAACAATTCATAAGCATGAATAGCTCTTCTGTAAAATGATGAATAATTAAAAAATGTAAAATTAACTTACAATGCTATTGTTGGGTGATATTGTTATTATAAATAGAATAGTTATATTGGAGGACTGATAGAAGAAAAAATATAAAAAATTAACCAAAATATAAAAAAAATTATTATCTCTACAATTTGATATGATTTGGATTTATATCATGGTGTTTGTTAAAAGTATGCTTAATTCAAATTTTCTTTTAGATGTGGAGAATTAAAAATAGCTGTTTCATTGCAGTTGATCTTGCAACCGTTTAGGTTGCAAGGGTTTAGTCCCTGTCTCATGATAATACATGCTTTCTGTCATTTGCAATGGGCAACCACACCACAGCCGGGGTTCTCAGCCTTCAAACATAATTGTTATTTTGGCCTGTTCACATCTTCTTTCCCCTCTCTTTTATCACACTTCCTCACTCTTACTCCTAATTTGTATCACTTTTCCTTATTCAGTATCACCCCGCCACTGCATTTCCTGTGTACCCTCTTTACTCCACTTTATATGTAAGTGTGTGTTTTTCATGACAAGAAGCTGTCATCCTGTATTCACTCCTCATCCGGTGGGCGGTGGGGCAGTTCATTTGAAAACAGCGCTGTTAAAGAGCTGCTGCCAGCGTGCCATCGAGCCTGGGAGAGAATGTGATGTCTGGATGACTAACTAAAGGACTTTTCACAATTGTTTCCTTGATGTGCTTTGAATGTGCAGTCCTTGAACCCTCAGTATAACCGTTCAGAATATATGTTTAGTTTGATTACCTCTTTTTATATAGGCTATGTGCATTTATATATGTTTATACATGTAACATTGTTGTCCTGTGAGGCACAACATTTAGTTCCTTTGTATATCTCTACATATAAACTCACTTGACTTGACTTGAGTGCTGCAGTGACACTTAGCACTTAGCATCTTTTGTATTTCAGTGCCGTGGGTAAGACATGTCTGCTCATCAGCTACACCACTAATGCCTTCCCGGGAGAGTATATTCCCACAGTGTGAGTACAGTTTGATACCTTGAACTGGGAATTATTCCTGTGTGGCTGTGCTGCCTGTGTGTGTCCGTTTACTTCTGTGTATGTATTTCTGAAACCCTTAGGTTTGACAACTACTCTGCCAATGTTATGGTGGATGGTAAACCTGTCAACTTAGGCCTCTGGGATACAGCAGGACAGGAGGACTATGATCGCCTTAGACCACTCTCATACCCTCAAACGGTACTTAAATATCTCAGAGTATTATTCATGTATTTTTATTTTGTGAAAACGTATTTTTTGACAGAATTTTTTTTTTCTTTTACTAATTACTGGGACTGTATTCTATGGAAAATTGTTTCCGCTACTGAAAAAAAAAACAATTCAGTCAGAATTCAGATATGAATAGGTAGTATTATATTCGTCCAGTTGCTTTTGCTTGAAGAGCGATTCATCATGGCAATTCATCATCTGGTTTTTGTGGTCTCTGCTGAGGATCTGTGCCGATGGCTGTCATGTTGACGAGGCCTACGATTACATATAGTGCCATGTAATCTGAAATGAATAGTTGATGACAATGATTTTTACAAAGAGCCTCCTTTTTCTTTTTGCAGGATGTGTTTTTAATTTGCTTCTCACTGGTGAGCCCTGCTTCCTTTGAGAATGTAAGAGCAAAGGTAAGGATCCACCTAAGAATACAATATATTTTTAAAGCCATCCGCTAGGTGTAGTGCCTTGTGTTAACCAAGTTTCTTTTTGCAGTGGTACCCTGAGGTCCGCCATCACTGTCCAAACACCCCTATCATACTTGTGGGCACTAAACTTGATCTGCGGGATGACAAAGACACAATTGAACGACTGCGGGATAAAAAACTAGCTCCAATCACTTACCCGCAGGGACTTGCCATGGCTAGAGAAATTGGTAAGATCGATTTCCTGAAAAAAAAAAAATCACCTTGAACTTTTTAATGGTGCTATGTTGATGTTTCACTATTGCCTCTGGGCTTTGAATCATGTACAGATGACTCATTGGATTATTTGGCTTTGTAGGTGCTGTGAAGTATCTGGAGTGCTCTGCTCTTACTCAGCGGGGTTTAAAAACTGTGTTTGATGAGGCCATCCGCGCTGTTTTGTGCCCTCCACCTGTAAAGAAGGGGGGCAAGAAGTGTACTGTATTTTGAGGAACACCACAACTAAGTCCTTCACTGATATGCCATGTAAACAGCGGCTTCTTTCTCTTCAGCTCTGCTGTTATGAACAGATAAATCCAACTTGTGAGGTGATGAACTGCAGACATATATTTCCATGGTATATCTGATGTAACAGATATATCAACATGCCAAATTTGCTTTGTTATTATTAAACTTTGCCTTAAATTGTTGGTTTAAAACAAAAGTATGTTGGAAGAGAATGACATAAGGCCAAGGCATGTCTATCAGAAAGAATAATTTGTTATTAAAGAACAAGCATAGCTAACAGTAAATTTCTTACCTTGTTGCAACAAATTTTACATATTTCAAAGGTTTTTTCATGTGGAAATTGTGGTTATTCATATTCTATCTGCAGATACTTTTCCCTTGTGGGATCTCTGAATGTGTCAGAAGATATTGTGAATAGCGTTTGCGAGTTAAATGTGTGGCCATAGTCAATGCTCTCACTTGAGGGGTGACGGTAAATACATTCTTTTTTTAAAAAGTATTTTACTTTCAGCTTTTATTGCCTGTTAAACATTTCATACTGTACCTGTGTTTTACTGTGAATGTACTGATGATTTTGCTTTATAATACTGTTAATAAAATTAACACTATATAAAATAAACGGTACTCAGAATTGGCTGTAATGTTTAATGGACTACATGCTGCAACGTGCAATGGAAATCATTTTGTGTAGGCTGTACGTCTTATTTAAAATTTATTGTTGTGTCATATATTTTTGCTAAACATTTTCCTATATGTGTTGATGTTTGAAATGTGCCACTTCTGATTTTGTGTTGAGGGCTAACATGTCAAATTGTTTTTACACTTGTAAGTGTTGAGATATTTCTTTGAAATGTTATTTTACCTCAAAATGATTAATATTTCAATTTCGAGATAAAAATATTTATGTGTGCCATTTGAACGTTTATGTTTTGTTAGTATGCATTAGGCATTTTTGTTTTTATTGAACTAATGACTGAAAATGAAACCACTGGCACATATATAAAATAAACTAGTATGAGTGTGACATCATTTTGAAGGGATGATTGTGGCTATGGTCTTTTATTCATTTGATGAGAAACTGTAACAAGTGGGATAATGTACAGCCAACCAGTCATTATATGAATATAAACACCCCTATGGGCATATAAGAAACTCAATAATGATCGGCTGATTGTACAATATCCTTTGCTGAACCAAAACTTAAACTAAGGTGACCAGATTTCTAAAAGGAAACTGGGGACATTTCCTAGTCCAGTGATCAAAATATAATTGATATCAAACTTTTTATTAAATATGAATTAAAAAATACAAATTAAATACATTTTTGTATGATTTTGTTTTTTAATTGTTAATTACACTTACTATTGTGATGTGGTTTTAATACAATTCACCAAAAAAAAAAAAAACAATCGCAAGTAGTAAATAGTAACCATTGCAAATTTCACAGAGATACTGTATTATAACAAAATTCCGACTTTATGTGAATAAAATATGAAACAAAATAAATAAAACAACTTATAATTAAAACTGTATTTAACGACATTATTATTTTAAACATATGTATTTAATAGGCCTATATTAATTTTCACCAACTGAATAATCTTTTATTTAAAAAAAATGTTTTATGTTTGCTTTCGGAGGCTATGTTGGTCGGTTGTATAAAACCAGCCAATCGTGTTAGAATGTGTAAATATGTTTTTATCCAGTATTAATATTTCAAATCAAGACTCAATGTAGTGACGTCTCCGCGCTGCAAGACGTCGACCACGCGCACTCTCATGCCCCGGATGTGTTTGTGTGCTCTGTTTCTGCAGAGGAGGAGGAGATGCCACTACCCGTGCAGGTCTTTAACTTTCAGGTAAATCGGCGCCTTTTAATGCTTTATCGTCATCTTCCACACCGCGAGAGCGGGTAGAAGAAGCGAACCAAGTTGATGTACCTATGTTTACAATGTTAATTCCTCACCTCTCGCAGCCGTTGTAAGCTGTTAGCTTGTCTAGCATGAGCTCGTAAGTCAGAGCGGCCCTCAGGATGCGACAGGCACTTCTCAAGTTTAGCGGCAGCGCGCGACTATTCGCCCGAGGACCTTGATCAATGTAGTTTCGACAATGAATACAACCAACAGAGCTGTTTTGGTTCACACCCGAAGCGGTCCAGTTGGTTTTCTCGTGGTTGTTTGTGAAACACTTGGGTAGAAACTTTCTTTAGCCGGCTAAGTGTATTTAGCTAGCTATCTCGTTAGCAAGCAGTCTGTTGTATCAATTAGCCAGTGTGCTTGAAATTCAGGCTGTCTCTCAAAACATACATAGTGTGCTGCCTGCCTAGAAAGTATTTCAGTCGTCGTTCAGATGTGCCACACTTACATATGGTGCTGTAAAATACTGTCTATGTAGGCAGCACACTAGATTTTGAGACAGAGTCCATCATTTGCTTGCAGAGATGAAGATAGATTCCAAACACATAATAAACATGGTTATACACTGTGGAGCTGCTCACAATTTGAGTGACATTTCTATTTTAGAAACATTAGATACATTCAGCTGTATTTGACTGTCGTTAAAATAAAATGCATTAAAATGTAGTTGATCAAGAATGACAGACCAGGTCACATTATGCATGATGTAATCTTAAGAATGTTGGGTGTTGTAAAGTGCATGTGGTGAATGATATAACCGCTTATTTGAGAGGTATTTTAAAGAATTAACAATTGAAAACCTAATAAAATTAATACGGGAGATGAATTTTGAGGGAACGTTTCCCCCTCAATGTTTTGGTTGTTACAATCATGCATATGGTCACAAGTATTGAAATGTTGCGTGTACTATGAAGCCAGTGTTTACGAATGTAATCTTACTGTCTTTACACTCTCGCTTCTAGAGTACAAAAATTGTCCCATTTGGTTGGTTTATATTTTTTGTATTAATTTCAACAAATTTAACTTGTTTTTGTCTCGATGCTGCTGCCGACCCAGTGTGATTTTTATAAGCATGCACCTTCTTGCAGGAAAATTTACAGTCAGAACGGAGAGATGCTGCAGAGCAGGTTCAGGGCAGGATGAGGGAAAGCTTGTATTTGCCAGTCAGGTCAGCCTCATCGTCATGGTTAGCGCTGAACTACTTCCATCAAGGAAGCATGTCTGACCCGTTCATGGAATTTCACACACGATTCGGTGTGTACAGCTCGAGCCCCTCATCATATTCTCTGGAGGTAACCACACAATGTAGGCAGACGGGATGACGCCATCTGAAAGCCTGGGCACTCATTGTTGTGATATTATGTTTTTGATAAGATTTGTTTGGTGGTAAGGGCAAAATATCCCTCAGATCTTCATATATTTTACACGCTCGATAGGACTTTTTGTTTGCAAACATTTATCAAGTGCAGTGTGTTAAACGCAATGCTTTCTGTATTACCAGGGGTCTGTAGAGCCCATGCAGATAGATGCTGACCCTCAGGAAGACCAGCAGAATGCGCCCGACACCAACTATGTTGTGGAAAACCCGACTTTGGTATGTTGAGTGTTTATGATTGACGGACTCTTGTATCTGTGTTTAATGGTCCATACATTTGTGTATTTGCTGTTGGCTTTTCAAAGCGTTATCCTTATTTTTAAATAATTTTTTACAAAATATCATTCAGAATCTCTTCAGAAGTTATTTTGGTGTTTTGATCTTTGATCTTCTTTTGGTAGAGATATAATAATATTTTGTGTTAAAATAAAAAATACATTTTTAGGCATCACAGAATTATAATTTAAAATATGAAATATCTTCATTTTGAGATTTGCTAAAGATTACATTTGACATTACATTATTACTTTTATTAAACATTTACTTTACCCATCAGTGTTATCTTAGTATTATTATTTGTATTCTATTATAGTAATTATAAATATTTTGTATATGCTTTTATGTTTGTATTTTCTGTTTTTATTTTCATTTTTGTTCAACATGTGCTTTTGCCATTTTTTTATATTATTCATTTATTGTTTTTAATTATTTTTAATTGGTCTATTTAGCTTTAATTTATTTTATTTTTACTTGACAGACCATTTTTAATTGTTTTAGTTTATTAGTTTTAGTTTCAACATTCACAATACAGCTTTACCTTTGCACTTACCTAATGCTCATTGAATTCAAATATGCAAATTGTGGAAATGAGCATCACTGAATTGTTTGATATCCAGCAATTTACGGTGACAATTTAGTTTGCATCCCTACTTTTTTGTGACTTGATTTTTTTTTTCTGTACAGGATCTTGAGCAGTATGCCTCCAGCTACAGTGGACTAATGAGAATTGAGAGGCTGCAGTTTATTGCAGACCACTGCCCCCAGCTACGAGTGGAAGCACTGAAGATGGCCCTGTCCTTTGTCCAAAGAACCTTTAATGTTGATGTCTATGAAGAAATCCATCGCAAACTCTCTGAAGCCACCAGGCAATCCCAGTTCCATTTCTAACATTTCTAACATAGCATGCATGGCTTTGACTAAGTAAGTTAAAATATTTGTTAATCACAGGGACGTGCAAGGTGTCCCTGATGCAGTACCGGAGGGAGCAGTTGAACCCCCTCCTCTCGACACAGCCTGGGCAGAATCCACCAGGAAAAAAGCCCTACTCAAACTGGAGAAGCTGGATACCGACCTTAAGAACTACAAGGGAAACTCCATTAAAGAAAGCATAAGGCAAGGCCAGACTTATTGTTTCTATCTTTTTGGTATTAGTGGCTTTCGCACCCGAGGAACTGGGAATTGGCGGAAGTACCCAGATTTTGGCGTTTTCACACTGCAGGAACTAGGAACGATTTCAGTTCTAGGAACTCCTTTTGGAGGAACTAATTAAGCTCCTACTTCAGAGTAGGTTCTAAACCAGCACTATTGGAACTATCCGTGACGTTAGTGTTCGCTGATTGGCCGAACGCACACGAAACACCAGCACCCGCCATTTTTAAAAAGGCTGCGTAAACACAGGTTATTGCCTATATATTTACTTCAGAAACTAACTCTATGAATAATGGAAAAGTGATTGACGGGCCTCTTAACCTTTACGTTGAGGAGGAAATCCAACGCAACTTTGAGGGGACCAAGCTAAACACGATTGTCATGATTGATGGTGATTCTGTTTGTCTGCTCAGCTAGCAACATTGAACATCATCCACACGGCAAACGCTAATAACTTTTCAGTACTGTCTTATTTATAACATTTCTATCTAATAACGTATCAGACAGGACTGTTGGACAGATCGTAAACTAATGAACATGGAGAATGCCAGCGCCGTTAAAATAAAGGTCCGCCTTCTCGTTAAATTAAGTCACAACAACAAGCTTGGCTTGCGTCACTTCAGAGTTCCTACTGGGGGTGCGAATGCAACCAGGAAAACCACCCTGGTGGCTAGTTCCTTGAACTACCCTGTGCGAAAGCCCCTATTGACTGTGATTTTGTTCTGTGGCTATTTGACATCTGAATATCTCTTGCTTGTGTTCAGGAGGGGTCATGATGACCTTGGAGATCACTATCTTGACTGTGGTGACCTCAGCAATGCCTTGAAATGCTACTCCCGAGCCAGAGACTACTGCACTAGCGCCAAGCATGTCATCAACATGTGTCTTAATGTAATCAAGGTATGGACGTATTGTTTTCTCTGGCCATCAACTGGTGTGTTTAATGTTACACACAGGGCCTAAAACTAACTTTTTGCCACACCTGCCAGTGGTTGGTGACTTCAAAAAATGTACTGCCCATAAATATTTTTTTCCGACCATAAAAAAACAGGCAGTAATGACGCCATTTACATTTTACATTTACCTTATTTTATAGGTTAGCGTTTACCTCCAAAACTGGTCCCATGTACTTAGCTACGTCAGCAAGGCTGAATCCACTCCAGAGATAGCAGAGGTAGGAGCAATCTTCCATCTTCTGCTTTACTGACCTGTGTGATAACAATAGAAATTGACTCTAAAATGTTCATTTTTGTTTGTCTCTGCAATCTAGCAACGAGGAGAGAGAGATAGTCAAAACCAATCTGTTCTAACCAAACTAAAAT